CACCTTCATCTAAACCACTGCGGACCACCATCGATTTGAATCACTACGGACCACCACCATCTAAATCACTTTAGACCACCACCGATCTGAACCACCGCCGACCAGCGTCGATTTAGTAACGTCGTTTGGCTTATGATTATATTTGGGTTGTGCATATTAAATAATTATTTTATTGAAGTATTTTTAGTTTTAAAAAAATTGAAATTTTCAAAAAAGGGCATTTTGGTCATTTACCAAAATTTTATTCCAATTCTAAAGCTACATTCTGTGAACCAAACAGACAGATTCCATTTCAAAGTCTGCCAACCAAACATGTGGTCAAACCTGACAACATTCCATTCCAATTCCTTCAAAGTCAAATTCCTTTAACAGATTCCATTCCATCCAAAAACATTCTGCGAACCAAACGCCACCTAAGGGGTTTCATTAGGACAACCTGTGGATTTGAAAATTTAAAGTGGTTTATTTCTTGAAAAAGGAGGGAGGGGTATTACCCACTACGTTGTAATCCTAACCCTTGGACTTTCCTCACCCCAGGAGAATTACCCTTTGGACTTTGCGTTTATACCTTCCAGTTATGTTGTATTTAGGGAAGGGGGGGATTCTAGATTGGGGAAAAAGAAAGCCGGTAGAAAGAAGGAAGAAAATGGGGGAAATCGAAGGGGGAAATCAAAGGAGAAGAAGGGAAGCAGTCGACCCAAACCAGCACCTGCTGTGCTTTCTCCTTCTTTGCCGCACACGAAACAGCAGCACCAGAGACAGCAGCCTTGCTGCGTTTTTCTCGTCCAACAGCAAGCAGCAAAGCTGCTGCGTTTTGTCTCGTACGCCCTAAACAGCAGGCAGCAAGACAGCAGCCTGCTGTGCCTGCCTTGCCGATCCCTTCCTCAAACAACAGGCCTCCTGCGTTTACATCGCTTCCTCGCCAAACCCGGACAGCAAACAGCAGGCAACGGCTCTGCTGTGCTGTGCATTTTCTTTCTACGGCCTTCTCGATTCAAACAGCAGCTGCAACTGCGTCTGTTTTCTGTATTTCACGCCTAACTGCAGCTTGTTGTGCTGCCTTCTAGCCTCGCCAAACAGCAGGCCCAAACAGCAGCTTTGCTGCACGTTTTTCGCCTGTCAACAGCACCGAACAGCAGCCGCTTCCTCGCCGCCGCAGAACGGACAGCAAGCAGCCTTTGCTGCTGTACTGTGTCCTCCGTGATCTGCCCAAGCACCATTGCTGCTATGTTTACCGACTGTGAGTTCAACTCAACCCTTTATTTGAAACCTTATACTATAGAAATAGAGTATTGTACTTATCTTATATCTTAACTTGATACATTTACATATTTAGTTGGAAAGAAGGTTTTGGGTCAAATGGACGAACTAGTAGATCATGTTATTGATGATTGGTCGAGTTTGGGTAAATGGTTTTATAGCTTGGTAAAACACCCGTTGTCATAGTGTCGATGGCCTTTGAGCTCTAAAACCCTCATGTACATAGTTTAGAGTTTCTTATTGGCAAGTAAGGGGGGGGGGGAACTCACTTGAGCTAGGTTATGCACGGATTCGTCCTGATAAGTGAGTACTAAGAGGCTATTGGCACAGCACTTAAGTGTCGTACTTGATTATATTGAACCTAAAGATGTGAATAGCCGTTTTATTATATTTGCGTGAGGGATGGTATAAGTTGGTGATAGGCATTGTGATTATTATGTAATCACCAAATCATCCTCTCACTTTCACTCGGTAATAGGCATTGTGATTATTATGTAATTACCGAGATAAAGAGCTTATGATCACGACCGACTACATGACTGGTTAGGTTGATGTCGGTGGTTTTATACCGGTAAGTGATGCTCTATAACGTTGATTTATGGCTTACTTTTTGTTCCGTCAAACTCAATGGTAAATCGGGTCTCCCCCATCATCTTCGGATGTTTGGCTCTCACGAGAATTACTTTGGACTTACTGTTCTATATATATATCGATTGGGTTACATTAACTATTTACACACACACATATATATATATATATATATATATATATATGTATGCTCATTCATTATTGAATATAAGGTTTTATGGTTGCATATATATTGTATTGTTTGGACTCAGTAGGCGTAAGCCTAACACTTCTTCTTGATATATTTTGTATATCAGGTTCCTTTAGCGGCAGGGCTAGTAAGGGTTGAGGAAAGTGTTGAATCGCGAAAGGCTCTTTTGTAGTTATAGCCTTTGTTACCGTTGAGCGTTGTGTTTTGATGTTACGTATTTTTGGAGAATGATAGAAACACCCGTCTTTAACCTAGTTATAGAAAAATCTAGATTGGTAGGTTGTTAATTATCTTCTCAGTAGCTGTATTGTAAACGATTTACTAGTACTCCTATTGTTGGGTGATTTGTATATAAAGTTTTGAATTTTGTTAAGTTCTTTTGGCTCAAACTATATATTTTTTTGGGTGTTATATAATGCTTGATGGGCGGAGCGTTTAGCACTAATTGCACTTGTATGACTATCGTCGACGTGGTGCTGAGCCTCATCATGCGCTTTATTTCGTCATCTTATCAACCATCGTTTGCTGTATATCACCGTTAGATATTATATGAGAAATGAGATGAATGGATTGATGATATTTTTAAGGGCATATCACATAGTTCCAATGATACAACTAGTGATGGTCAAACCGGCCCGGCCCGGGACCGATAAGGACCGGTTATGGATTTGGGGTGTTTCGCGGGACCGGGACCGGGACCATTTATGGGCCGGCCCGATTTTTAAAAAATGTAACTATTTTTTTAAAAAAATGTAGCCGTTTTTTGGCCCTTTTTTGTATTTTTTGCTTTCTAAACACTATATATAAGTGTTTTGGTTGAGGGATTTACATACCAAATTCTTGATTCGTAAAAAACGTTCACAATTATCGGTTTCTCGCTATATTTTGTAAAACAATGTAATTTTACTTATAATAAAACGCATTTTTAAAGTGTATTTGAGTGACCCTATTACATATTTTATAATAGTACTAAAAATATACATCATTAAAAAATTATTTTTTAATGACCGGGACTGATTGGGACCAGGACTGGCGGCCCATAACCGGTTACAATAAAGCTTGACCGGGCTCAACTTTTTCGAGCGTGACCGGTTATAGCCGGTTATGAGAAATCTTGGGACCGGTTTTTGGCCATCACTAGATACAACCATAACCTTCTGTTACCACTTCAAGAAACAAGACTGTTAGACAACCCATACGATTGCCTAACAATGAAGCTCAAAATAGATCGTGGAATTACAAGTAGTTAAAAAGAAAAGAAATAGAATCAAGATAATTTAGAGTGGTTCAGTACCCCTCTCGAGACACACGATAGTAGAATTCAAATTTGGGTACAAGTATAATATAAGTATTTCTTTCGTTTCGTTGTTTTTATAAACAAAAAGCCAGTTGATGGATTAACTGATGAAATAAAATCTGCTGTTGGATCACTTATTTTCCATATTAATCACTTTTGGATTTTAAAATTACGGTGTTTTCGCAATTCAAAATGGTTGTATGGAATAAGCTAGGATCCGACATTAAACTACATCAAATAAATTATACTAGAAATGTCCCAAAACTGATTCAATCCTCTCTCTTTGCCTCTCTGAAACCCTTCGGTCTCCCGTATCTTAAATATCCAAATTTATTCATAAAGACAATTTAACCCGTATTGAATTTAAAATAACCCCGTAGTTAAGATTGAAGTATTCATCATAATACACCTAAATTATGAAAAACTAGTTGCATACTAGKGTCTGGTTTATTAGAGAAGATTTAACGATGATATAAGTTACACTTGGTCTTCACATATTAATACAATTTGAATAAATAAGAGTTATGGTTCCAATTACAGTCTATCGATGAAAAAAATTGTATGACAGTTTAAAATCCAATATATTTAAAATCCAACATATTTAAACGACCCCACAAATGCGTTTGATTTACACCAAGAGCAAAGAATCAAGAGATCAAGAGCGAGACCGAGAGTTCTAGAGCAATTGAATGAGAAAACTTTTAATAACTCATGATGAATACTAATTTGAATCTCACCTTGGGGGATGAGGAGAAGACATAAAGGTATGAGAGAGTGAAGACATGAATGAAATGTGTCAAAAGTATCTTGGAAACACGAAAAAAAAAAGTAATAATGTGCATTGGTAACTTGCACTATATGTTATTTTAATTGTAGATTAAAAGATTTTAAAACTGAATAAATAAAGTAGTAGTACTTAATGCATTATGAGTTGTTTTTAAGACTATGTGCATAAATATATAGTACTTTGTGCATTAAAAATTGTTTTTAAGACTTTTGATAAATCTAATTTATAGGGTAGAATAGATAAAAGAATCTTGTAAATCTTGCATATTCATTTACCAATCAAGAGATAAAAGATCAAACAAATTAGGATGTAATTTTCAATCACCAACTATATATATGACCACCATCCACTAAGAACATCGTCAACAAAGACATCAAATCTTACACCAAATACTAAATTTTGACATTAACGAGAACACCAGACTTGGTGTAACTATGCTCATTTACACCAAAAATAAATTTGATTAACCTGGATATTCAACCCGCTATGCGAGCCGACTAATCCCAGGACGACCAACTGCTTTGCAGATAGCCCGGAGTCACGGCATTTGATCCTCCGTGGCCACAAGAGGATTTTTATTCCTCCTTGGATTTGAACCTGGGACCCCGTGGTATTTTTGACCTTTGGAGTCATGCTCAGACCAATCAGGCACCACCCTTGTGGTTATTTACACCAAATTTTACATCAATTAAAGATGATAAAAAAGAACATACCTAGAATCTGGCATTTTGATGTAAGATTTGAAGTTACCCATTCGCGGTACCATGTCTAATGAACCACTTCTTGTAAATCAAAGCAACTCTACCCAAATTACTTGTAACCCAAATCATGGAAGGAACTTGAAATAGTGTAAAAGTCTATTCTTTGACACTAGCAAGAGAGAAGCAAAACATGAAAAGAAGATTAATGTGCCAACTTTTTAGTAAAATAACTGTTGCACGTCCAATGAAATCCTGTAAAATGCCAACTATCTTTATGGGATTTCTAAATCTGATGTGTTGAAATCAAGGGATTTCGATTCTGGACTTCTCTTTAAACCAAACATGGAATTGGAATGGAATTCAGTTCCAAATCTTACCAGAATCCTGCAAACAAAAAAGGGCCCTTAGAGAATGTTTATAAGAATTGAATTTGATGTTAGGTGTAAATGAGCTCTACTTTTTAATTCACTACAATATTGAATTTCAAATCCCAACGTCCTTATTGTTGGGATTCAATCTCAACCACCACAAATACATCTAAGTCGAAAACTTGGATGGATAGTAGAATCCTTCAAACGGACCCTTGATGTTACCCCACGAGTGGGGGCAAGATTCTTTCAAGGACGGTGCATTGCAGGCCTCTATCTATTTAAGAATCGATAAGTTTCTAGTTTCTCTATATCTATATCTATTTAAGAATGCCTCTATTTATTTAATATAGTTGATCACTTTTAATCTCAAACACACTCATGAATTGCGCTTGATACGGGGATTGATCTGGTGCATCTCATCCTAATGTGCATACAAGGGTGGATATCTCTTCTTACGCTTCTCACCTTAACTCTACTTCTTACAAGAACCCAACCCTTTCAATTGATATATACACATATATAATTGAATTTCTTGGTTTAGTAACCTTGGTTCCAACACTCATGGCCTTACACAAGTTCATGTATGACCAACATACTAACCACACATTTTTTGAACAAAAATGCTTCAAAATTTGGGTTTAATGATCCAAACATCATTTACTTGAAAAGGTAACATTTCCCAGTGTTTATACCACAGGACATCAAGCACAATTCATCACATTAATCAGAAATTTTCAGCATTACAAGCTTATTATCCTAGCCTTATTATACCACTCTTTTACATTATATATATATATATATATATATATATATATAGGGTTGGGTTCACGTGAGACCAAGGGTTTTTTGTGAGACCCGTAAAACCAATTTATGTTCATTGATCAAATTTATGAATTAATGATCTAATGGTTGCAAAGTTGCAAGGTGGCAATTTCGTAATTAGTGAGAAGTCTCGTGGCGTTTATAAATGTTCAGATCTGACGATTGTAAATCTAATCTAAGGGTTGAGAATTGGTCTTACGGGTCTCACGAAAAACCATTGGTCTCACATGATCCCAAGTCTATATATATATATATATATATATATATATATATATACAGCAAATGCAACAATAAACTCACACACCCTCCTCACTTTTGGTGAGGTTTGAACCCCTGACCTCGACCACCTGGGAAGCCAAAGGCTACCGGTACCTTGTAACCACTTGAAGGTTACTAAGAATCAATGATACAGTTTACGATTAGAAAATCAATAAAGAGTAGTTACCTTTCACGAAATGTATCTCGAGTGTGAGTACATCCAATTTTAACTATATCAGAAACCTTTATAACCTGCTGAAAAAGAAAGCATAAAAGTATGCATCATTAAAACGACCACTAAGACTGGGTTAATAGAACAACCATTAGGAGGTTGTTCAACTTGAACCAACAAAATAGGGGCAAACCTCAAAATCAAAGAACTTGAATTTGAGTAAGATTACAGTTAATCTACAAATGAACAAGCTTATAATCAATCATGCATAACTGAAATTTATTTGATACCTGAAAGAGAAAAACCCGTAATTTATTCATAAAGAAAAGTACAAACGGAAGAAATTAAATTTAAATGACAGAACAATTACTAAAACAGATTGAAAACAAATAAACTAACTCAACAGAGAAAAAATTAAGGTTCTTAAAAAAAAATGAAAAGTGCTTTGCGATTTCGTGTTACAACTTGATTATCTCAAAGAATGAGGACGAAGGTCCCCAAGAACTCTGAAGAAGTTTGAGTCTTAGATATTGACATTGCAATCACAATGCCCTTCTTTGGGATTTGCTTGAAGATTTTAAGCAGGATTTGGGATCTCCATAATTGATAATAAGAATTTTGCAAGATTTTTGAAGAAAATCTTGGGGAAATTGAGTTGGGTTGATTTTTTATTTTGAACCTAAGAAACTCAAACAGAACCATGGGCAATGGGTTCATTTAAGGTGTAAGATAAACACAAATAAGTTGAGGAAAGTGAAGCATACCAGGATGGATATCATAGAGACGAATAGAGCGAGAGTTGAGAGCACCAGTACCAAAATTAAGCGAGGAAGAGTTCGAGTCTTTGAAACAGAATCTGGTATGGACTATGAAGAACGTGACCTGTTAGCACAAGCTCTTTGATTAATCCCGTTTCAATCGCTTTGATTGTCTCGCTTTTATTTCTGTAGATCTTCTTGGTGAATTTTTACTCGTCCTTGTTAGCTTTTGAGAGGATGCTGCTAAATTAGCAGCTGGTTGAGATGAGATATAGACAGCTGCCTGAGTATGAGTGTTTGCTTGAGATTCTTTGGATATCTTGTTTGCATTCGATATAGAACCATCGTTCCCTTGCTTGTAGTCATCTTCAATTTCTTTAGAACTTTTCATGTCTCTATCATGTAAATCAACCGGAAACTTATGAATCTTATGAGCATCTTTGATTATCTTCTGAGTTGGATTCAACAAAGAAAGACCATCATGTTGCTTATGATCAAATTCAGTTTCTATAACAGAATCAACTGAAGAACCATTTTGATTAAGAGAGTGTCCACTACATTGTTTCAAGATATCTCTCAAAATAATGCTCGTAAAAGCACAAGATTCAGATTCTCCATTAGTAGACAACAGTATATCCCGTACCCGAGTGACGGGAAGATCATCAAATGACATGGGCAAGGATCGTTTAGTTGTATTGGCACATTTGTCACGGTAAGATTTAGCAGCATACTCTTCCCAGTTACAAGGAAATCCAGAAAGGAAACGATCACAAACCTGTTCAAAAGACCCAACGACAATTACAAATGCCATGTTTGGCAGCCATAAACTAACTTAGTTTTTAAGCTTATTGAAAAATCCCTGTTTGGTTAGCCATAAGCTACTTCAACTAGCGTTTCAATAAGCTCCATGGGCTTTTTCCACTTCTTTTTCTTCCAACTAATTTTTCAACATGTCTTATTAGGTCATTTTATCAAGCTTTATCAGCTAATTTTTACCAAACTTAACTAGTTCATCGGTTAGCTTATCAGACTACAACTAGTTTTTCAGCTAACAACTAGTTTATCAGCTAGTTTGCCAAACATAGCCAAAGAGTTTTGTACCACAAGTTTTATTGCCATGGCTACCCCATTAAGATGGACTGCTGCAATGCTTTTTATTAAACAAGGAAGGGTTGATCATACCTCAGCTGAGAAGCCGTAAGACAGCGTGCGTGACCTATTTATGCAACCACTAATCGTGATTGTGATGCCATCTACTGCTTCAAGAGTGTTGTTATCAAGCCTCTTGGCAATTGCTGCAGAGGCAAAAACTTGAATTCCATTTTCAGGTGCGTTGAGGTTGTACCTCTTGCCAACTGATGCAGAGCCCAAAAGTCGCATTCCTCGTGAACCTAGCGTCCTGTGGTATTAGGAAGTTCAATATAGCACACGAGACATATGGCATTAACCATTAATCTTCATAATCAAGAGCAGAAAAGAACGTTTTTCAACAAAAAGAAAACGTATTAAGTGCATATCAGTTCATCCATGATGGAAAACAAGCCTTTATCAAAGGTAATTTCATCGGATCAACATCGAGAATCGCAGTATAAAACATAATACACGATCCAAGTTTATCTGGAAGTATAAACCCTAATAAGATTGAGTTAGGGTTATCTATCTTGACCATCCGATATGAGTAACGATGATCTAACTGAAATTTATACGAATTGAGTATCAAACAAATCATTACTCTCTGTTAACAAAGCCTCCAATGCCCAATTTGGAGTCCCTTTCGACCTCTATCAGCCACCATTCACGCAAAAAAACCTGCAAAGATGGTCGGAGTTAGTTAAAGAAGAGAGATTTGCAATCATACCGGATGGAATTTGAAAAAACTTGATGAATAAACCTACTGATTTACGGTTTGATGAAGAAATGGGGGTTTTGGATGCAGTTGAAAGCTTCGGCATGAGGTCAACAGATTCACCAAATGTGAAGTTTACTGCTTGGCTGGAGAGGAGAGTTACAACGATAATGGAATTCTAGCCCCACAGAATGAAGAAACAAACCTACTCCAAGCGGCCTCATGTAAGCATGTTGATTACGGATTCGAGACTTGTATGCAAAACTGCTCATAACATTACACCAAAAAAAACACAGTACCGTGCAGAAAGCTGGAAGGGATGAACAGGGAGCAAATAGGGTTTCAAGACTCACCACCGCAACTAATAGGCCGTTTCTTTTTCTTTTATTAAGGGGCTCTTTTTGGCAAGGGCACGGTTGGGTACGATTTGGTTGGGTTGGGTTGGGTTGGGCTGGGTTGGGTTGGACGGTGTACACCCAACTTAATTATGGTGGTTTGGAAAAATTTCAACCAAATCCAACCCATTTAAAAGTATAATCCAATCCTTGCGGGTTAAGGCGGGTTGGATTGGGTTAGCGGGTTAGTAGTCATATAAACTTGACGAATGAAATAATTCATAAAACTTAAGTTTACAGAGCATACTATAAAGCTCATATCTAAAAAGGTTACAATAGGTTTATAAGATGTTTTTGAACGTTTCAACAAGTGTTTTAGAATGATTCTTAAATGAAATGGTGTATTAGTTATTTTATAGAAACATTTTGATAAATGTCCCGTATACTCATCTATTTATATGACACATGTGTCCATATTTGTCAAGTCGTGTCGTATAAAATAAGTAATACGACACTTTATTTTAAAAGCATCATAGAATTTGTTAAGACGCTCAAATAAGTCTTAGAGCATCGTTAGATACTCCCGGGATCAAGAAGACATCAGTAATTTCCATGAAAGATTTTAGATGTGAGTAAGGATCTTCCGATGGTAATCCTGCAAATTGTCCATTTGTTTGCAACATATGAAACATGATTGGTTTAAGCTCAAAATGGAGGGCATTCATAGGAGGTCTAACTATCCCTGAGTTCAATTGCTCAAAATCAAGATTAACGTAGTCCATGATTCTTCCATTTCTAGAGTTTGCAAGATTAATTATATTTGGAGTTTGAGCTCTTGGATAATCATTATTTTCATATTCCGTGTTATTATGTGCATTTTCATAATTTGATGGCTTTTGTTGAAAATGATGTTTTGGTGGATTTTGAAAAAATGGTGCATTTGGCAGAAAAAGACTGAAATTGTGGCATTTGACCAAAGGTTGGTGAATTTTGAATTGGTACTTCTTGGTCAACTTTGGGGGGGG